ATTGGGCAGATGTAGTGTGTCTCGATGGGGCAGATGTAGTGTGTCTCAATGGGGCGGATGTGGTGTGCCTCGATGGAGCGGATGTGGTGTGCCTCAATGGAGCGGATGTGGTGTGTCTCAATGGAGCGGATGTGGTGTGTCTCGATGGGGCAGATGTAGTGTGTCTCAATGGAGCTGATGTGGTGTGTCTCGATGGGGCAGATGTGGTGTGTCCCGATGGGGCAGATGTGGTGTGTCTCAATGGAGCTGATGTGGTGTGTCTCGAAGGAGCGGATGTGATTTGTCTCGATGGAGCGGATGTGGTGTGTCTCGATGGAGCGGATGTGGTGTGTCTAAATTGGGCAGATGTGGTGTGTCTAAATGGGGCGGATGTGGTGTGCCTCGATGGGGCGGATGTGGTGTGCCTCGATGGAGCGGATGTGGTGTGTCTCGATGGGGCAGATGTGGTGTGTCTCGATGGGGCAGATGTGGTGTGTCTAAATGGAGCGAATGTGGTGTGTCTCGATGCGGCAGATGTGGTGTGTCTCGATGGGGCAGATGTGGTGTGACTAAATGGAGCAGATGTGGTGTGCCTCGATGGGGCGGATGTCGTGTGTCTAAATGGAGCCTATGTGGTGTGCCTCGATTTGGCAGATGTTGTGGTCTAAATGGAGCCTATGTGGTGTGCCTCGATGGGGCAGATGTGGTGTGTCTCAATGGAGCCTATGTGGTGTGCCTCGATGGGGAAGATGTGGTGTGTCTAAATTGAGCTGATGTAGTGTGTCTCAATGGAGCCTATGTTGTGTGCCTCGATGGGGAAGATGCGGTGTGTCTTAATGGAGCCTATGTGGTGTGCTTCGATTGGGCAGATGTGGTGTGTCTCAATGGAGCCCTTGTGGTGTGCCTCGATGGGGCAGATGTGGTGTGTCTCAATGGAGCCTATGTGGTGTGCCTCGATGGGGCAGATGTGGTGTGTCTAAATGGAGCTGATGTAGTGTGTCTCAATGGAGCCTATGTGGTGTGCCTCGATGGGGCAGATGTGGTGTGTCTAAATGGAGCTGATGTGGTGTGTCTCAATGGAGCGGATGTGATGTGCCTCGATTGGGCAGATGTGGTGTGTCTAAATGGAGCCTATGTGGTGTGCCTCGATGGGGCAGATGTGGTGTGTCTCAATGGAGCCTATGTGGTGTGCCTCGATGGGGCAGATGTGGTATGTCTCAATGGAGCCTATGTGGTGTGCTTCGATTGGGCAGATGTGGTGTGTTTCGAAGAAGCGGATGGAGGAGAGTGTCTCCGTGGATTGGTATGGATAAGAAAGACTCTCCTCTGGACCACCACCAAGTCAGATCTTCGTGTGTAGGATATGGCTCCCCACGCCTTCACACTTCTGCCAACGACTCCGTCGACCTGACGAACGCAGTTCGGTGCAAAACGTTCATTACGACGTTGGTAGACACGCTGTGGACAAGACAAGACATCGTGATTCATCACTGAACCAGACTCGCCGTCAGTTGCTCTGAGTCCATGCATTGACGATGTTGCTCCATCGCATTCGCTCTCGTCGATGCTTACAGATACTCTCAAAGACGATTCCTCATCGTTTGGTCCGATACCCACCTCAAGCCAAGCGTATGTCCTGCAGTATCAGAGGCAGTAACATATCGATAAGTATAGGTGAAAGACCCGGATGTAGCGATCTTGTGTAGGGGTGGCGGCATTTGGTCTGCGATTTTTTCGGACAATCTGGGGTTGAATTGAGGCGGGTATACCTATCCTTTAAACGAGATATGGTGTTCTGGTGTTCGTTGAAATGACGTGCAACTGCAAACTGGGACTCTCCAGTTTCCAGTTTCCTATGGAGATGTTGCGAATGGAAGCATTCAGTCTCGGCACTTCCAATAGTTGATTGACGTTTGACCTCTTATAGTCATTGTCACTGCCCATGATTGTCACAACTTGCACGTGCATTCTGCTGTTAGTTTCCTTTCCATGCGTTTCGTCCAATCTCATAAAACTTGCTGTATAAAGCTACAAAAGTTTAACACGGTTGCGTTTGTGCACTACACCAGTCAACGAACACGTGACTAACAACGTTCGGTCAAAAATATTGCAGTTGTATTGAATATTTCTTGAATAAATAAAATCATCATTCTTTTTATCTCCTATGCCTTCTCTTTTTGATGAGTATACTTTAAAATATGGTACTTGTTGTTTCTCTGCCTGGCGCTCGGCATCAAGGGGTTAAAACAAGGACTGATCGGCCCTGTGTCAGTATTTTGTTGGGTATCCATGGGGCATGGTATCTCAGTGGGCTTAACAGACACAGACACAGACACAAACAGACACAAAGGGACACACACACACAATAATCTTGAACGCGACGTAAAAGCCCACTTCGCCTCATATGTTTGGAAACCTCATATGTTGGTCTACAAACTTGACATTTACAGTCGGTTAACGCCCTTGCCTCTGGAAGATGGGTTTGGAATGGTGCAAAGTCCGACGTTGCTGGATGTTTCAGGATCGTATTCCAACTTTGTGAATAATTGCTCATGCTATAAACCACTGGTTCTGTCTCACCCAACTCTACTTTTTACAGACCGATATGATTTGTTTGTTTGTTTGTTGTTAAACGCAACACTCAGCTTTATTCCAGCTATATGACGCAGGTCTGTAAATATTCGAGTCTGGACCCGACAATCCAGTGATTGATATCATGAGCATCGATCCACGCAATTGGGATACGATGACATCCAAGTCAGCGAGCCTGACCACCTGACCCGGTTAGTCGCATCTTACGACAAGCAAAGTCGCCTTTTGCGGCAAGCATGGGTGGCTGGAGACCTATTCTACCCTTGATCTTCACGGTCAATGTGGCTTCGACATAACTGTAGCTTTCACCATTTAGTGGAATGTGTGTTTATTGGCGCTTATTCTCTACTGCAGTCTGGGTGGGTATTTAACGACCGCTTCACCGCTATGACCGACTACAGTTTTGTCCCCCACGTGTCTACCATTAAACCTATATAAGTTTTACTGAGGCCTTGAATGTTGTCATCTTAATCCAACTTCTGAGCAAAAGTCATGTGACGCTCTTTGAAATCTAAGTAGCAAGATTGTTCCTCAAAAGGTGAGAAACTAAACACATATGACTGACGTTGCATTTGACTATCGGAAAGTTGATGTACGTCATCCCTCTTGTCATCCCTCTTATCATCTTGGCATCCCCCTTAAACAAGGAGGGGCGGTCGGGTAGCCTAGTGGTTAAAGTGCTCGCCCGTAACACCGAAGACCCAGGTTCGATTCCCGACATGGGTACAATGTGTGAAGCCCATTTCTGGTGTCCCCCGCCGTGGTATTGCTGGAATATTGCTAAAAGCGGCATAAAATCAAACTCGCTCCCTCTTAAACAAGGTGCAAGAAACGAGGCCACAGTACCTATCGTGACTTCGCTGTCTTGAGTATAATCAGTAAACGACCCACCTCAATAATGAACGCACGATTCTTATTTTTATCCGATATAATAGGCAAATAGTAATATAATATTATACAAATGTTATCACAAGTAGGACTTTAGCATGATCAGCATGTTTATCCAGCAGAAATCACTGACAAGTTTTACACGAAACAAAAGTGGGAAATGATAATCAAAGAAGGTCAAATGAAGGTCAAATGGTATTATTTATATTGGTGTACGTCAAAGGGGAATTGTGGGTCTATTGTCGTGACTAATACCGGTGTTGTAGTGCTAACCCGCTGTAAAATCATGTCGCAGCTTAACATCAACACCCGACTCTTTGTATCATGAAGATTTTAACTTCATATTTCTGGATAATTCTTGTAGAACCCGTTTTAGAATATCTGATTTATAAATTATGGCAATGCTGCCATAATTGGTTGTTTGTTTATGCATGTAGATTATTTATTGGTAAAATGGAGAAATGGGCTGGAATGAGCATTTTAGGTATCAATGGCGGTTTTAATGTTTGCTCTTTAATACTGAAAACATAATGTCTTCTGTCCGTAATACTGTCTCCAACTTAAGACAATACAATCATCAAGTCAGTGAGTGAGTATGGTTTTACGCCGCTTTTAGCAATATTCCAGCAATATCACGGCACGGGACACAAGAAATGTGCTTCACACATTGTACCCATGTCGGGAATCGAACCCGGGTCTTCGGCGTGAGCGTTGCCAAACTTAATGAAAAGTATAGTATCCACAACACTGTACTGTGACAGGTGCATTACGAAACATCGTTACCTAAAATGGATCACCGTTCGGATCAGTGATAGAACTGCTGTTATATATGATTTTCTTTCTCGATATCAACACAATCATGGTCTGAACAATAAGGGGCGGTCGGGTAGCCTAGTGGTTAAAGCGTTCGCTCGTCACGCCGAAGACCCGGTTTCGATTCCCGACATGGGTACAATGTGTGAAGCCCATTTCTGGTGTCCCCCGCCGTGATATTGCTGGAATATTGCTAAAGGCGGCGTAAAACCATACTCACTCACTCACTCACTCACAATTAGAATAGATGTTTAAAAAAGTGCCATGGTAGAATAACAATACTTTTCATACCAAGGTGTCTCAGGTTCAATCGAATCCCGGTTCGCCCCGATTATGTTTCTAGGTTTGTCAGAACCATACTCGTGGGTTTCACCGAAGTGATAAACTCACTCACTCACACAGGTTCAACGTCTGTGGATGGTCTTAATCGACGTGTGGACCGCACCTTTGGTGTGCAAAGGTTACTGAAAGACCTAAACTATTTTATCACGCTCAGTTACATGACTGACAGCCTTGCTCCAAGGCTGTACTGAAAGGCTGAACTGTACTGTACAAGTCCATGGATTTGTAGTAATTCCATGCTCCTGATAGGCAAGTCTAGATATGTCTAGGACTAGACAGGACTTCAATCTCTTTCGGGACAAATTGTTCTTATTATTTACATAATCTAGAAATTATCATTTGAACTATTAATTATTGCCTTACAGACTTGTGCCAGTCTACATGACTGATAGCTGACCTCGTACCTACACTCCCTTCCAGCTGGCGACACACGTAACTCTATTACTCTCCCTGTCATGGCGACACACGCAGTTCTCGGCATCATCTTGCTTATTCTCGTTAGCCACACATCTGCCAGATCACCTTTCAAAGTGGTAGACTGCAGTGAGTTTTTTTACCTTATACTCGAAGCATGTAACCATTCTGCTCCTCCCTGTGAATGCAATGCTGGTGTCAGGGATCACGGGTGTAGCACAAAGACAAATATAGTGTGGCGTACATTGGACACACTTTTATTGCTTACCAGTTATTCATAAATATGTATATATCTATATTGATTATGCTACAGACGAATCATTAACTGTTGAACGTTGAATGATTATAACTATCAACCGAAAGACACGGTGACCTTTTTCAGTTGAATAATTTCATTCATGCAGGTCAAAACAAGACGCGCGAGCTGTTCTCCATCACAGATGCCCATCTGGATCCGAAGTCGGTAGCCATCCCAGGCAACCTCACGGTATGGGGATCGGTCAACATCTCGGAGCCCATCGAGGGCAACATCACGTTGGACCTGATGATCGAGAGAAAGCTGGGGTTCTTTTGGCTGGAGATAGAAAGCGAGTAAGTCTAGGCACATTCATTCATGAGGGGGAGATGGGGCTGCTCCGGGCAGAGAGTAAGTGAGGTGGATGTAACGCTACTTTGAACAGTTATATCACTGCGTGTCGTCTTAATGTGGGAGGAAAGCCCGAAGTGATGCAGGTCTTAGATGTTACCACTTTAATGAAACCCGCAGGAACGAGTATGGTACTGACAAACCTAGAAACTTATTAAGGTCGAACAGGGATTCGAACACACGATTATAGGTTTCTGGCGTTGCTACGATGGTCGTTAAACGAAATTCTTACAAATCCCGTTCTATATTCAAAAATAGCGTCATCGTGCTATTCCATATGGAAATCCTTTTTGCAATCGTTGTGAACAAGCACTATTACTAATAATGCTTCACAAAGCCATCGTTGCGTTATCATCAATTTACGACAATCGTAGCACTAAGATGTTAGTTGGTAGTCGTAGTTTAACGCCGCGCCCAACAATGTTCCAGCTGTATGACGGCGGTATGTAAATAATCGTGTATAGACCAGACAATTGGGTGATTGAACATCATAATAATCGATATACGCAACAGGCATACGATAACATGCATCAATCAAGACAGCGAGACCGATCCTCTGTTACCGTTAGTCCCATGGGTTGCTAAAGGCCAATTTTGTCTCCGGGTCTTCACGGGGGCACTGAACTGGAGGATTTGCGATTAAGTCGTACTTACTGTGGTTAAGACTTCAAATATTAGATTGGACATGATTGAACAGAGACACAAAAGCAGTGTGGTCGTCAGAGTATGTATATTTACTTCGTAAATTACGCGTCAGTTCTTTAGAGAAAGTTTCTTTCAAGTTGCTCATCAGCCCGATGTTTCTGACAAGACAATGCTGTAATCACACATTTGAAATATTTGGTCAAAGAAAAGTAAAGGGAATCTCGTGAAAACATAATTCATAATATAATATGTTTCCAGCAAGTATGACTTTTGCGACCTGATTGGCCCTGATGTCAACAAGACCGTGAAATGTCCGAAACAGTTAGCGGAGAATGACATCCCTTGTGAGTGTCCCTTCCCACCGGGTACATATGCACTGAAGCATCACGAGCTGTTTACCATAAAGAAGATAAGCAAAAGTCTCCAGTGGTTAGTGAAGGTGAGTAGACACGTGTCCTGTTGTGTGTACCTAGTGTGCAGCTGTACCTCTGTGCAGTAATGAAATGATCCAACGTGGCTGATGGCGTATCATTATAGAACGTGGCAATCTGACATGTCATTGTAGAACAACATACTACAGGAAGTCTCACCATTGTTATGGAGCCCATGCACGTGCACTGCACATCATGTAGGGTAGCACGGGTCCATCACGTGTCCATCATGTGAGGCAGCGCGGGTCAATCACGTGTCCATCATGTGAGGCAGCGCGGGTCCGTCAAGTGTCCATTATGTGAGGCAGCGCGGGCCCATCATGTGTCCATTACGTGAGGCAGCGCGGGCCACCACGTGTCCATTATATGAGGCAGCACGGGTCCGTCACGTGTCCATCATGTGAGGCAGCGCGGGCTGTTCATGTGTCCATTATGTGAGGCAGCGCGGGCCCACCACGTGTCCATTATATGAGGCAGCGCGGGTCCGTCACGTGTCCATCATATGAGACAGCGCGGGCCCATTGTGTGTCCATTATGTGAGGCAACGCGGGTCCGTCACGTGTCCATCATATGAGGCAGCGCGGGTCCATCACATGTCAATCATATGAGGCAGCGCGGGTCAATCACGTACGTGTCCATCATGTGAGGCAGCGCGAGTCCATCAAGTGTTCATCATGTGAGGCAGCGCTGTTCCATCACGTGTCCATCATGTGAGGCAGCGCGGGTCAATCACGTACATGTCCATCATGTGAGGCAGCGCGAGTCCATCAAGTGTTCATCATGTGAGGCAGCGCGGTTCCATCACGTGTCCATCGTGTGAGGCAGCGCGGGTCCATCACGTGTCCATCATTTGAGGCAACACTTTTAGTGTCTGTGGTGCAATCAGTAGTTCCTGGCTCAGAACATGTCGGCACTCTGTCGGATGCAATATGGTTTTGTTTGTTTGTTGTTTAACACCACTTTCAGATATATTGCAGCTATATGATGACAGTCTGTACATAATCTAGACCAGACAATCCAGTGATTGATACTATGAGCATCGATCTACGCAGTTGTGATACGATGACATGCATTAACCAAGTCACCGAGCCTGACCACCCGATGCCGTTCGTCGCTTCCTACGACAAGCATAGTCGCCTCTTAGCGCAAACATGGATTGCTGAAGACCTATTCTATCCCGGATCTTCATGGGTTGCAATATGGTTATTACTGACTTGAAGTACTTTATCATAAGGCGAATTTCAAATCAATATTGTATCGCTATCACGTGTCATCAGCCACGACTATTGGCAGGTATAAGAAAATGTTTTGTACCATATACATCATACTTAATGAATCATTGTTAAAAGTGGGCGGTCGGGTAGCCTAGTGGTTAAAGCGTTAGCTAGTCACGCCGAAGACCCGGGTTCGCTTCCCGACATGGGTACAATGTGTAAAGCCCATTTCTGGTGTCCCCCGCCGTGATATTGCTGGAATATTGCTAAAAGCGGCGTAAAACCATACTCACTCACTCTCTCATTGTTAAAAGTAGTATATTTAAAGGAGGAGTTTAGTTTGTTTTCTTTTACCCTCACACCACATCAGCTGATACCAGTGTTAAAAAAGCTATCATTTGATATTTCAACATACGTAACGTTTACCCCAGGGCGATTATCGACTGACTCTGAAGCTAGAGGACTCTGGTACGGATGACGAACTGTCTTGTCAGCAGATATATGTATCGATAAGAGATGGATCTCCGCCAACACCAAAACCAGAGTGCAGTTTTCTAGACTGTATATTTGGATGAAGACGACAACATGAGGACAACTAAACGTTGTAGGGAGATCAAGTGATCGTTAATACACATGGAAAGGGGTTTGTCGCTTTCATTTATCTCAATGTGTCTTTTATATTAAAAGAAATCGTTAATGGAAAAATGCAACTTATTTTGCAGAGTTGTTTCCCTTGTTGTACAAAAGGATTTGGTCACAAAAAATGATAAATGGACTCTCTGTAATGAACAGTTTGATTGATTTGGTTGGTTTGTTGTTTAACGCCGCGCTCCGCAATATTCCAGCTATATGACGGCCGTCTGTATATAATCGAGTCCGGACCAGACAATCCAGTGATTAATGTCATGATCATCGATCCACGCAATTGGTATCGTTGACATGCATCAACCAAGTCAGCGAGCCTGACCACTCGATAACGTTAGTCGCCTTTAACGACAAGCATAGTCACCTTTTACGTTGGGTTGCTGAATACCTACTCTACCCAGGAATCTTCACGGGTAGTTTGAACGTACATCAAGGTATAGTGGAAATACATGATTACCTGTGCGTTTAGTCTTTCGCGACATTGTTGTTTGTCTCGCGCAACCAAATGAGTGTATGTCATAATCATTCTCGGTGAAGAGCAGTTAAACGATAAACCCCCTGTGATATAACGCATATCTTCAAAGGCTGACACCATGCCGCTTTGGCGAGAATGCTTGTAATTTCAAAGAAACCGTTTGTGAAGGGTCAATGACCTTAACATTTGTTGGTTGTTTGTTTGCTCTTTAACGCCGTACGCAGCATTATTCCAGCTTTATGACGGCGGTAAGAGACCAAATAATCGAGTCTGGACCAGACAATCCAGTGATTGACAACATGCGCATCGATCCACCCAATTGGGATCGATGACATGCATCAACCAAGTCAGCGAGTCTGACCACCCGATCCCGTTAGTCGCTTCTTACGACAAGCATAGTCGCCTTTTACGGCAAGTATGGGTTGCTGAAGACCCCGGAATCTTCACGGGCCAAGTGACCTTGACAATGGACATGAGAAGACAACGTGACATTTAGTATAAATTCGTCAACACCATAGTATAAGTAGTCTCGGTTATCCGCCGAGACAAATTCGTTTGGAAACTAAAATAAATGGATCACTGAAAATATGTGATGACACCAGGTGCTAGTGATGAACGTTAACACTCGGCCCCTGTTCAAAACTGTCGTCGCTGTGCCGAGTTACGTCACTTGGGCATCCCAGAAACCTATGATTGTGGGTTCGAATCCCGGTTCGCCCGAATTTTGTAACTAGGTTTGTCAGCACCCTACCCTTGCTCGTGGGTTTCACCGAAGTTGTAAACGTCTGAGACCTGCATCACTTCGGGCTTTCCTCCCACATTAAGCTAACACGCCGCGATATAACTAGAATACTGCTAAAAGCGGCGTTAAACCCAACTCACTCACTCACCCAAAACTGCGGTAGCCTAGGGGAAATTGTTAGTGCGGTCCCGGAGTTTTGAAGGTCCAGTCTGTTCGAAATCTGCATGTTGAGGATCGGACGCATAGAAAAGAAGCTGCTCTTTGAATGCGAGCATCCATGCTAAACTGCGGCATGGCATCTAGTGTACGTCCCTATATAAGTGCAACAAATCTTAAACACGATGTTAAACCGCATTTTACCACCTAACCACACACGCACGTGAATGCACGTTAAGCCCCTTTTCGCCACCTCGCATAATGCGGGACAAGTAACATTCCCTAATTACAAATATTGTTATAAAAATACAAAAATCTGTAAAACATGAGCACAAAATTCACGAAGAGACACGCACCATTTATTAAGTGTGAAGATTAAGCTGTACATTCTTACGTGAAGACAAGTCACAAAACGCAATGTAGTTCAAGCTCGAGATTAACCTGCGCATGTTTTCATTACGAATGCATGCATTGACCGTGACGACGTCGTGCCTCCCAGTGATTTTCACTTAATAAAATAACAAAAAACATGTGCTGCAAAATGGAACAAAGTCCAAAAGGAATTATTCAGTTATAACATCAGGAACCAGTGTCTTTAATGTCACGTTGTAAGCCATAGGAACCTTTACCAAATGAATACCCATGAAGAAACAGGTTAGATAAAGTCTTAACCTATGGTTAAGGGATCGGGATCGGATTTTAAGACTCGTTGACGTATACCAATTGCGTAGATCGATGCTCATGATATCAATCACCGAACTGTCTGATCCAGACCACCGTCATATAGCTGAGTGCGGCGTTAAAAAACAAACAAACAAACGAATTTACACTAACTTGGTACAGTTATGCCAGGACTTCATCAGTTTAAGCAACAGGAATTCTAGATCAGAACCCTGAACCACCGTCTGAGGAAATCGGGTACAAGAAACCATTGATTATAGTCATTGACAGGAGTGGCCCTGTTGGTTTTGTCATCTAGTCGGATGCCTGCACGACTTCCATGTGAAATAACTAAATAAAGGTTCACATCACCATGACAAAAAGCTATACTGCCGGGTAAAAGGAAGAATACACTCATATGTGATGGTGGCTATATAAAAGGACCAAGAAATGGTTATTTGATGTTGAAGTATTTGATACGGGTACCATAGTTGTATTTTGGACATCAGTTGGCAGTTTTTGGATGGCTGTTGTCAGCATTGTAACGGTTTCATAACGTTTATAATTTTTGGTCAAAGTGTAACTTACTTTTGCCCGACATTGTTGTTTGAGAGGTATCACAAGTACCAAAACGGTTTTGATATATATTACGGTGCAACATTTATAGGACTATACCACCAAAGCATATTTTCAACAAAGCAGTCTAAAAGTTTCTTCTGTATGGTGTACATGCTGTACCTATGCCGGAGTCATGTCAACCACAGAAACCTCTTGTCTTGGAGTAGAACAGCTAACTCTTCGAGGTATGGTCGGTATAATTTGTCCAGCAAAAGACGAGTTTCTTTTAGCATCGGTCCAGCTTTCTTCTTGTTCTCAGTGACGTGCATATGAGGTATGTTTACAACACTAGTCAAGAATTCTTCATTGTAATCTGAAATAAGTTTCACCGATCATTGAAAATTTTTTTTTATTGCATAAATCTTTGTTATATATTCGTTGTTTCAATTCTGCTTTGTTTTCATGATATTCATATTAAACATCTGGTAAATAATCAAACACTGTTCGTAGTTGACCTTTCAAGAAGTTGTGGCAGTCCTCTATCCTCAATACTCGTCACGATATGGCTGAAATATTGCCGATGTGACATAAAGCATTACCTCACTCACTCACTCTATCCTCAATAATGTGTTGTTATTATAAACAAAATATAAGAACATATGAAACATAAAACTTCAACGGCATCTGGATTAATTACAGAAAACCATTCTATTGGGAGCAAAGGGAAAAATAAAGATGTAAATCATAAGAATAGATCACAGGAAATGAGTGAAAATACATATTTAGTAAATATATATATGACAACTTACTTAATTTCAAATAATCATACACTTTTCGCAGCGTTCCCTTCATGTCGTGATTGTAGTCCTCCGTCCTTAGTATAAGAAAATTTTCTCTCCTAAAAACATTCAGCCATTCCTTCATATACACTGAGTAATATCCGATGAAGATGCGTGTCTGAAGAAGATAAGCATTATAAGACAGATGTACGACAATTGAAACATAATAATAATAATGCACTATAGAAAACAAAGATGACTAAAAAACGTTTTATCACAAATCTATATCCAATGTAGGTTTTGTATCCATATTCCAGTGCAAAAAATGTTCGTGCCTGTAATTTCATGATTATCAGTTAAACGCGTGATTGTTTCTTCATGCTTTGGGCATTTTCAGTGATATAGTTGCGTTGAGACTTTCCTTGTGTGCCACTAGGAAGTGGATTTGAAGATTTTGCCAAAGGACATTGATTAACACTATCAAGGTCGCGCAATCCATCATATTGTTGTTGGTTTGTTGTTTTACACCGTACTCAGCAATATTCCAGCTATATGACGGCGGTCAGTAAATAATCGAGTATGGACCAGATAATCCAGTGATTGATATCATGAGCATCGATCCACGCTATTGGGATCGATGACATGCTTCAACCAAGTCAGCGAGGCTGACCTCCCGATCCCGTTAGTCGCCCCTCACGACAAGCATAGTCGCCTTTTACGGCAAGCATGGGTTGCTGAAGACGGGTCTCCATCATATTGCTTTTTGTTGCTGAATGTATAATCTGCGACTGATGACGCAATATTTGGAATGGTCAGTCAGACATTCATACCTACCTTCTTTCGTTTAAATATTCATATTTATTCACTTGGTGTTTGTAATTCTCATTCCATTGAATACGATCACGCATGTGAATTGATGGATATTAAGCATATTTGTGGTGCGCTTCCTTCACCTTTACATACGATTGCCAATTTGCGACTTCTCTGAGCTGGCCAATTGCTGCCATTTCCTAACATTGTGACAAACATGTAGTGGTGTGTGTACACACACAGAAGCACGGTATAAGTGTACGATGTGATGATACAAAAGTAACACCACGGTGCTATTACAAGAACAACGGCGTGACAATCCCATTCAGCTGCTCCCTGCCTCTTCCTCACAAATAACCATTGCCTGCAAGATGGCGACAGTAGGACGACACGGACGCGGGGTGCTGTTATACGAAGCCATGAACAGATCCTGCGAGGAGGTGATACGATGGCACGAAAGTGTCATGCGATGACCCAAGGTTCTTGTGGATCGTGACTTCGTTAAACCTAATCACATACATGTACCCCATCTGACAAATGACATCTGAAAGTTCAGACATGATCCATGGGAGATCTAGATTGTTACTAAACTACTAAAACACATGTTAAATATTTCAAATATGTGATTTACAGCAATATTGAAATATACCTTCCTACTGAGCTTATGTTGACTCGATATAGTGTAAACACGTATTTCAATGCAAATTTGCACAGACATACATATTAACAGTTAGCTGCTGGAAACAGTGTATATGATGTTGCAAAATAAATCTGGAAGCCAGACAAGACTTGGATTCTGGAATTACTATTTGTTTATAAAGTAAACTACGTTTATAACGAACACGTTTATACCAAAGTTACGGATGTAACGAACTGTTTCCTGGGTCCCGTCCATTTGCTGTATATAGGCTGTATATGTGCCTACAACGAACTACGGTTATAACGAATTGAAATTATAATATAATAAATAAATAATAATTACAATAATTAAATATAGCTGCAAGCAGCGATGTCGGGCTCCCGCTGTGTAAGAATTGTGGAAGCGGATCCTGTTCTATTCATAGATGTACTTTTGTAAAATTGCACTTTGGTTATACAGAGTACTAAAAACCATTGAAACTGAGTTCTTAATAAAACTAATTGATTACCATTAAGGCATTTTCTCCTGTTGTTATATAAAAGCATTCGGATATGCGGAAGGATATGTGCTATACTGTGCACGACTATAATATGATCTGGATTATCAATAGGATATTTCACCTGTCCGTTTTGACCAAGAAAAAAATTCCCATTTTGGCCCTGTACCTGTTAAGTATGGAAGATACCAGCATGCAGAGGTGTTGGTGACTTGTTATTGTAATATGCAGGAAATGGATCTTGTAATTTGACCCGTGCTCAGGGATGAGATGGCTTGGGACATTATCTAACAGTAAGAACACATGTCAGTCATCTCTTGTCATCTCCTTGTTGAAGCAATTCAACCAATCAGCTAAGAAAACCCCAAGTCTTCCAAGCGTTTGTGATCAAAGTTTAAAAGAAGATTAGCTGTAAACACAATGGAGATCAATGCACTTAAGTAGGTTGAGAAAGGGACTGGTTTCTAAACCATAATGATATGGGTAAATAATACTCCTTAAAGTTGGCATTATATCTGGGATCTTTCAGGAAAAAATGGAAGTATCAAAAATGAACAGGTTCGTATTATAAAAAGGTAAGTTGATAGTGCGGAAATCCGTTCCAAAGAAAATAAGGCATTTTATAAAAAGAAAACCAAACATGTTGTACAACGATCCTTTTAGACAGGGAGCAACTGAACGGATCTAGTGTACAAGTACGGGAAACTGTGCACTTTCCACTGGCAGAATGTATTACAAACAGCGTGAAGAGAATCTATACAGAAACAGACTATAGAAGTCGCTACTATTGAAAGGAAGTGAACATATAAATGGTCTGTTATTACTTGAAATTGTGGTAATACAATTAAGACAAGTACCAGTAAATTAAACGGAAAGTTCAGCGATATTAAATCACAAACGTACAAAATGCGTGCTTTCTGCTGGCAGAGACTACTGAAAACAGCGTGAAGAAAATCCATAATGAAACAGACTATAGAAATCGCTGCTATCGAAACATGAAGTTAACATATCACCCGTCGGTTACTATACTTGGAAGTTGCGGTAATACAATTATGACAAGTACGAGTAAATTAATCGGAGGGTTCAGGAATATCAAACTTTCAATCACAAACCTACCGTAAATCCCGCAGTCCGAAAAAGATTTATGAAGGAGGTGTTTCCCTGGGGTGGGGAGGTAGGGTCCGTTTTGACTGGAGGAGCCCACACTTGGCTCTCGGATGACCCCGCTGCCAGAAGCTTAGGTAATCCGATATAGCGCTACCACTGGTTCACTCTCCATTGCCGTGCACGTGGATCACGTTCCAATATGCACCCGACCGACCGACCGACCCGGCCGCATGGGACTGAGGTACGCTGACACGCTGTGAGGCCAATACACATGTATGCGCAGTTCTTTGCTTAACTCTGTTGACAATGTGTATTGTGAATTCGCGCCAATTGATGCAGATATTAGTTTTCACATAACAAACACACGATGTCGTTATTTACTCTCAGCTACACTGTTTTCTATGCAGAACCATTGAACATGCGAGCGCAAACGTAAATGTATTTCTATAGTCCGTTTCTGCTTGCGTTATCCATCAGCTGTATAAACACTGTATCTCATTGACCCTGGTAACTGATTTCTGTAGTCCACAGCCGAAAACTATACACAAAGCTCACGTACTGCAGACTGTAGTTTGGTATATAAATAAACCTATACCACTGGTCTATCGACAATCATGTAGCGTATAGCGCAAAGAGGACACAGTATTACTGGCGATTGAAGTGCAGTGAACGGGACGTAGTTGTGATTCTATGGCTGCTTCTTTCAGTGTCTTTTACTTTAAAAAATGTTTGAAGAGTTCGTAAAGCACCCATGTCACCCCCACTAAATGACATTTTCAGAACATGTGAAATAAGAGTTTGATGTATGTAGGATTTGTGATTTGTGACTGCATTTTAATATCGAATTGCACATGTAAATACTAAAGATTGCCTAGTCTGCCAGTTATAGAATGATCTGGTTAGGAGCAAGATGCTGAAAGATGTTGTTATACATAAATTATGCATAATTTCTCTCCCCGTCGTCTTATTTCCTATGTCGCTACAATTGGTCGTGGTAGCACAGACATCCCCACTCAATATACATATACCAAATCTGGTCGAAATCGGACGAGTAGTTTCGGAGTTACGGGTATTTAGAGTTCAGCTACGGGTATTTAGAGTTGTGCTATTTGTCAAGTTTATGGACCTGGGCCAAAGAGTGCTATTTTCAACTCTCTGTAGTTTCGTTGTCTGTTGAGCTAGAGTTAATCTGTTTGGTATTCTGGAATCGCCAGGACAAGGGCTATCAGGGCAACATATCACATACGTATATTTTCATTGAAGTTGTTAGTATGGTACTTGGAGCCAAAGTCTGGAGAGTTTGGAAGCTTTCGAGCTGGTAGTTTGAGCTGAGGAGATTTTGGGAGTCAAGTACTGAGATATCTGCTAAAAAACAGTGCAAAAACACTTAATCCGATCTGGAGGCCAAACGAAGCAATTTCGCTACATTGGATGTGTAGAGAATTTGTTGGCCATCTGATTGCGCACCAGTTCAAGAATTTTGGAAGTCTTTGGAGCTTTCGTGGCGGAGATATTAGCTGTTGAAATCGCGATTTTTAAAGTTGTTTTGAGTTATCTGCCCTTAGTCTTTGAGTCTAGAGTCTTGGGATTTTTGTGGTATCTGCTTCAGGACCTAAGCTATCTTTGTGGAAATTTTGAAGAGATTCTGAGCAGTAGTTTTGGAGGTAGGATTGGAACAAAAATCGGCGGAATAATAATAATAATAATAATAATAATAATAATAATAAATAATAATAATAATAATAAATCGAACAATTACAATAGGGCTCTTGCCAGGATGGCAGGGAGCCCTAATAAGAAATCCTTATTTTTGCGATTTTGGCACTTTTGACCCTGGGATCGGGTAGCTGGACTAAAACCATTTAAAAAAATTCAAGGTCACCAAGGTCACGGGGTCAAGGTCATTTAGGTGGTCCGTAAAACGAAAATGTACTTTTTTTGGCGAGCTCTCACGCGACTGTTATTGCATGTATGGTGGAAGTGGTTGGTAATTATGCATTACCCCGACCAGTTCTAGCACATGTATAGGTAAATTTTGATGATATGCATGTCCGCCGTCCGTCCGCGCGTCTGTCCACCAAAACTCTGTTTTGTCATTTTCTCACGTACTATCTAACTTACAAAG